AAAAGTCTGAAGAAAAAATTGACTGTCACCACCAGGACTCGAACCAGGGACCCTCGCTTGTAGCCAGCGATGCTCTAACCACTGAGCTATGGTGTAGTCGTCATCCAAGCAGAGACCGTTCAACGTTTTCTTCAGACTTCGTAACTCACACTTCCTGTGAATCCACACAGGCGGGTGGGACGCAGCCCTCACTGTACCCACACACTTCACGTACAAACTAGCACGCGGGGAGCCCCAAGTCATAAAATATTTACTGGTTTTGAGGGAAAGAGACAAACGGGAAAAGTCTAATAATAATAATAATAATTTGAAAGTAGGACGGAGGCAGAAAATATTACAAAAAATGTATTATCTACGCATGCATCTACGCAAGAGTCACCACCAGCCAATTAGGACATGTGTCAAAGTATTGAACGTCTCTTCTACACATAATTGGAGTGACATGGCCAGCAATCGAGGACATCTGAGAGTTGTAATTTTTGTACTCCTCCGAGGTGTGATTTTTGGTGTGCTGAAGCCATCTGCAAAAAAACTGCAGAAAATGGTTGTTGTTTGATCCTTTGGTGTAATCTTTGTTGCTAGTCGAAGCTAGTTGCTGTTTGGAGCAGAAACGCTGAAATTGACTATTTTCTGCATGTACTCATACATGTACTCATGTACTCAGGCATGCAGTCTCACTCGTATTTTAGCTCTTTTTCTGGAATGGATGCTGCTCTGCGCCCCTTGGTGAACATTTCCTGCGCTCGTGGAGCAGCTGAAAAGGACCACTGGTATGTCTGGCTCCTGGTTTGAAAGTGGAGAGTCGACTTTTGTGCCTTGAAAAAGGAGTAGAGAGCGATAGAGGTACGTCTGTTGCTTATTTTTGAGTGCTCCTCGTACATTTTTGATCGTGATAGAAATTCTCAGACCAAAGTCAGACCAAAGTCAGCGCGATGATGGCCGTACAGTTTTCTTGTGGATTTTTTAGTTGTTTCATCTCGTATCTATGTCAGTATCGTGATGGTGAAGTGGAGAGGGTGATTTTCTTCCTCTAGGCTTCGTTCGGCCGACTTTGCTTCGTCCTCGTTGAAAAGTGATCCTGAAAAAAAGGTCGATTTGAAAAATTATGTTGATTTTCAATGTACGTGATGACATGCGATTGCTGGCTATGTATGTTTCTGAACTTCTTTTCCTTATAGTTGTAGTCTTTTAGCTTATTTCCATCATTCCCTGTAGTCGTTTGACAAGAAGGGAACGAAAACGTTCAATACTTTGACACATGTCCTAATTGGCTGGTGGTGACTCTTGCGTAGATGCATGCGTAGATAATACATTTTTTGTAATAATAATAATAATAATAATCCGCAACTACCTGGGCCAACTTCTCTCTCAAGTGTCTGAGGATGTGCAGCTGGAGCCACCGCTGCAACCTCTACCGACGGTCTGCACGTTTGACCATGGTCCTGCCCTGCTCACTGCGGACGACGCCAGACCAGACATCAAGGCCAGGGGGTTTTGGTCGGTACAGACTGATGCATTTTTTGATGTAAGGGTGTTCTATCCCAACGCACAGTCGTACCGATCTCGCCCGCTGGCTGAGGTGTTCCAATGGCACGAGCGTCAGAAGCAGTCGGCATACGGTGCCCGGATCCGGGAAGTTGAGCACGCGTCGTTCACCCTGATCGTCCTGTCTTCTGCTGGTGCCCTGGCGAAGGAGGCCACCCAGTTCCTGAAGCTGCTCGGAACGAAGCTCTCCACCAAGCTCTCGCAGCCTTATCCCCTCGTGATGGGAAAGCTGCGGACGGACCTGGCTTTCAGCCTTGTCCGCGACTCCGTCCTGATGGTTCGTGGGAGTCGCCGTGCATTCCGTGCACCTGGTCTGGCGGCGGATGTGGATGCTGTTTCTGTGGAGGCCCGCATTCCCGCCACTACGTGACGCTAAGTCCTCCTGGGGTTTACCGCTCTCCGGTCCTCTTTCATCCCGTTCTCCCCTCTTTTTTGGGGATTCTTTGTACTTCGTCTTTCTTGTTTTTCTTGTTCCTTTGTTTTTTGTAGGACAGATTTTTGGTGTACTGATTTCGGTTGTTGTTGTGTCTGACTCTATTCCCAATATCTAATTCTGTGTTTGGTTTTCCAACTCATTGGGTTGTAGTTTCCATCATGAGTTTGATTCCATTGTGAGTTTGATTCCATCATGAGTTTTGATTCTATTTGCTATTTTTCGTTCCATTTTTGAGCTCACATAATAATAATTTTTTTTTTTTTTTTTTTTTTTTTTTTTTTTTTTTTTTTTGGGGGGGGACAAACTGGTTTATTATGTACTATTATGTGAGATGAAATAAAACAGGAAAGGGCACAGGCCCTGATACGTGCAAGGGATAGCAATCAACATAATAATAATAATAATAATAATAATAATAATAATAATAATAATAATAATAATAATAATAATAATAATAATAATAATAATAATAATAATTTGGAAAGGATTGGGAGAACTTCAAATTCAAATGATCAGTCGGGGAAGTGAACTGCCTGAAAAGAGAAAAAAACGCCAGACCCACCAGGACTCGAACCTGGGACCCTGCTTGTCATGAGCAATGCTCTAACCACTGAGCTATGAGACCAGGCTGAACCTAGAAGGCGCTGACAAGTTTTTCACTCCAAAGGCAGCTCACAACACGTGCCACACATACTGATGGCACTTGGGTCTTTTTCCCTCCCCCAGGGGACCAACCACGGTCAGTTTCTGGAAACTACCAGAGGTGAAAGAAAGTGATTAAATTTGGAAAGGAATGTCAGCGCCTTCTAGGTTCAGCCTGGTCTCATAGCTCAGTGGTTAGAGCATTGCTCATGACAAGCAGGGTCCCAGGTTCGAGTCCTGGTGGGTCTGGCGTTTTTTTCTCTTTTCAGGCAGTTCACTTCCCCGACTGATCATTTGAATTTGAAGTTCTCCCAATCCTTTCCAAATTTAATCACTTTCTTTCACCTCTGGTAGTTTCCAGAAACTGACCGTGGTTGGTCCCCTGGGGGAGGGAAAAAGACCCAAGTGCCATCAGTATGTGTGGCACGTGTTGTGAGCTGCCTTTGGAGTGAAAAACTTGTCAGCGCCTTCTAGGTTCAGCCTGGTCTCATAGCTCAGTGGTTAGAGCATTGCTCATGACAAGCAGGGTCCCAGGTTCGAGTCCTGGTGGGTCTGGCGTTTTTTTCTCTTTTCAGGCAGTTCACTTCCCCGACTGATCATTTGAATTTGAAGTTCTCCCAATCCTTTCCAAATTTAATCACTTTCTTTCACCTCTGGTAATTTCCAGAAACTGACCGTGGTTGGTCCCCTGGGGGAGGGAAAAAGACCCAAGTGCCATCAGTATGTGTGGCACGTGTTGTGAGCTGCCTTTGGAGTGAAAAACTTGTCAGCGCCTTCTAGGTTCAGCCTGGTCTCATAGCTCAGTGGTTAGAGCATTGCTCATGACAAGCAGGGTCCCAGGTTCGAGTCCTGGTGGGTCTGGCGTTTTTTTCTCTTTTCAGGCAGTTCACTTCCCCGACTGATCATTTGAATAATAATAATAATAATAATAATAATAATAATAATAATAATAATAATAATAATAATAATAATAATAATAATAATAATAATTGTAGAAAGGGAAAGGACATATATAATAATAATAATTCAAAGGATCAGTCGGGGAAGTGAACTGCCTGAAAAGAGAAAAAAACGCCAAACCCACCAGGACTGGTGAGTCCTGGTGGGTCTGGCGTTTTTTTTCTCTTTTCAGAGGCAGTTCACTTCCCCGACTGATCCTTTGAATTTGAAGTTCTCCCAATCCTTTCCAAATAATGATAATAATAATAATAATAATCTAGAGTGTACGTGAAGTGTGTGGGTACAGTGAGGGCTGCGTCCCACCCGCCTGTGTGGATTCACAGGAAGTGTGAGTTACGAAGTCTGAAGAGAATGTTGAACAGTCTTTGCTGGGATGACGACTACACCATAGCTCAGTGGTTAGAGCACCGCTAGCTACAAGCGAGGGTCCCTGGTTCGAGTCCTGGTGGTGACGGTCAATTTTTTCTTCAGACTTTCCCCGTTTGTCAGAGGATACCAGGTTCAAGTCCTGCTTGGAAGTGAAGCATTTTTCCCAGCCGTGTAGTGACCCACAGTTAATTGGGAACTCGTGGCCTGGCATGAGGGAAACATGGATGCAGTGAATGGAGGTGCCTGGTCCAAACTGTCGTAGTGGGCAAACAAGGTCCACCTAGGGATAAAAGGAGCCAACTGTGAGCGAAATTGGAAATTTGGCATGGTCGGGGTGATATTTGGTCGATGATTGTGGCGATAAAAAGGATCAACTCGTGTCCAGTTGTGTTTCCGTCGTCTTGTCACGAATATAGTCTTCTAAGTTAAACATAGTTATCTCGTCGTCCATTGCCTGAGCGTGGAGATGACACGGGGCTGGGAACAGGTGGAGAAAGTAAAGTTACAACATTGGTGGTAGCGGTGGGATTTGAACCCACGCCTCCGCTGAGACTGGAGTAAAGTACAAGAAACTACTTCTTTGCAAGCTTGCACATCATTGGCATACCTGATGAGGGCCATTTGCCGAAGATTAATACTGGATTGATAAACGGGCTCAACGTTGTTGCAGAGGGAAGGAGAAGGAGAAGGTCTGCTCTAGAAAAACTGCTTCCTATGAATGATTTTTGTGACATGGGAAATTGTGGGCACAGGTTATGCGATCGAGTACACCAGCTAAACCAGAATTTGAACAGTCAGACGTGCACAATCTAGCACAAAACTGACAATTTCCCATGTTACAAAATGTTTTCCTTGGCTCACCATCTGAGTTCCTAGGAATGAAGCTGCAGAAAGCCTCACTTCTGCTACAAAGAAAATGTTGCTTCTTGTGCTACACAAAACTTCCTAATGTGGTTGTGTCTGAAAGCACCTAATGTGGTTGTGTCCCTAACCAAATATAACTGTTGATGAGACTCTGGCGAAAACGTTTCATTTTTTCATGTTTCAGGTCTTTGTCCAGCATTGAACATAGAGGAAGCTGCATTCAACAAGACCTCAAGATCCGTAGGCGTAACTTTGAACGTCACCTGTCCAGGGAAAACCCACTTTGTCGGGGTACAACAGGCTACGTGTTTGGCAAATGGGACCTGGTCTGCAACGCCCAATTGTTCACGTAAGGCTTTTGTTTCTCGTAGTGTTTGTGCTTATGTTCCACGCATTCTGAGAATGTTGCGCATTCTGGGAATTTCCAGCTTGCGCAGATAATGGAGAACGACTGATAGATTATATTGTACTGACGACAACCGCACCGTGGTGCATTTTCCACCCGTATTAATCTTGTTTGCTAAAGATTGGTCCGGAATTGGGCCGGAATAGTCCAAGGTTAG